GGCTGTGAAATCGGAGGGATCTTGCGAAAGGATTGTAAGAGGCCGTGAATTGAGAACGGCTTCAATTCGAATTAATGATGTCGTGAATTCTTCGTAATTGAATTTGTAATTTCCAGCTACTTTTTTGAAGTGGGATTTGAAGCTTTTGACAGCTGACTCCCATAAACCACCCATATGAGGAGCGCTTGGGGGGATGAATTGCCAATTAATGTCTTGGGGCGCGTACTTTTGTACAATCTCAGGTGAGACTTGTTTGATAAAGTTCACAAATTGTTTTTCGGTGGCCCTTTGAGAGCCGATAAATGTTTTACCATTATCGCTCGTGATCTTCGATGGAAAGCCGCGTTGACCGACGAAGCGAGCAAATGCCGCAAGAAAAGCCTCCTTCGTCAGATTAGTACAAAGCTCAAGGTGCACTGATTTTGTCGTAAAACAGACAAAAACAGCCACATAGCGACCTTTGCTTTTTGTAAGTCTAGGTGCGTCACTGTATCGCATTGGGAGTGTAATGAAGTTACTCCCTTAAGTTTAATTTTGAGTCGCTCTATGAACTTGAGCATGTAAGCGATTACCCTGAGTGCTCGGGAATACGATGAAAATCGTTCGAGGATGTCAGTATCATCCACTGTTGTGTGAAAAGAGTCGATTTTTCGACTTTCTGGGGCAATTATATTGCGCATGGGCGATTGTGGCCAAGAATCAGGAGATTCTGTTAACCATCGGGGGCCATTGCACCAGAGGGTGGTGGTGGCAAGATGCAGGGGTTTGCATCCTCTTGTACCTAGATCAGCCGGATTGTCAGCACTGGCTACATGTCGCCACGTGGCTGATCCTACTAGGTCAAGGATTTGAGACGTTCGATTGGAAATATACGTCTTCCATGCATGTGGTGGTTTTTCTAACCAGGCGAGTACGATTTCAGAATCGGACCACAGATATAGTTTGTATTTTGCCATGTTTAAATGCATTCGCACCATGGATACTAGTTTGGCTAGTAGTAGCGCTCCACACAGTTCAAGTCGTGGCAGACTTATTGTTTTTAACGGAGCTACTTTTGCTTTTGCTACTAGTAAGTGGCTTGTGGTCGCAATGTCGCTTTGTGTGCGAACATATATAGTTGCGCAATATGCCTTTTCAGAAGCGTCACAGAAGCCGTGTAGTTCGACTTTGTGCTCTGGGGCATAATTTACCCATCGTGGGATTTGTATCTGTGAGATATCATGTAGATTGCTCGCAAACTGGGACCACTTTTCTAAACGCAGTGGTTTTACTTGTTCGTCCCAGTCGGTACCATCTAACCATAATTCTTGTATTAGAATTTTGGCTTGTATCATAACTGGCGAAAGCCATCCTGCGGGGTCGAAAAGTTTTGCCACAGAGGATAGAATTTGCCGCTTTGTTATGGCAGATAATGCAGATATTGACTCTGTAGTGTATGAAAACTGGTCAGATATCGCATTCCATTGGATCCCCAGAGTTTTTGTTGTACTTTCCTTTTCGAATTTAAGGAAATTAGTATCTAACAAATTTTCATGTGGTATATTTTTTAGAATATTAGGGTGGTTCGCCGTTATCTTTTTCAACGGAAACCCTGCGGTTTTGAGGGCTTTTACCACTTGTGAGAGTGACTCGTATGCTTGTGGAAGACTGTGACTTCCAGACAAGATATCGTCTACATATGTTTGTGTTTTTAACACTTTGGTTACCAGAGGAAATTCTGACCTTGTGTTTTCTGCCAGTTCGTGGAGTGTTCGAATGGCTAAATATGGAGCACAGTTGACGCCAAAGGTAACTGTTTTTAATTTATAGTCGCGGAGTGGACTATTGGGAGATTTTCGGAAAATAATTCGCTGAAAATCTTGATCGTCTTTATGTACGACTATTTGTCTATACATTTTTTCGACGTCTCCGTTAAATACGTATTTGAATATACGCCAATTTAATATGAGGAGCATTAAATCTGGTTGGAGCGTGGGTCCCGTAAATAGAATATCATTTAGGGAATTCCCCGAGCTAGTGGATCTTGATGCATTAAAGACAACTCTTACTTTAGTTGTTTTTTTGTCTGGCTTTACTACTGCATGGTGCGGCAAATAAAATGAGTAGTATTTGCCGTTGATGATTTTTTCGCATGGGCTTATTTCCTCCATGTGGTCTAAATGGAGATATTCTTCCAACACACCATCATATACTGGTTTGAGTTCGCCTTTTTAAGTAGGTTTTTTTCCATACTTTGAAACTGCTGTATTGCAGAGGTGCGAGAGTGACCTAAGGCGATTGTGTTGGGAAATTGTTGTTTTAGTGGTAGTCGTACGACGTACCGACCATTATCTGATCTAGTAGTTGTGGCTTTGTAAAAGTCTTCACAATACTGATCTTCTGGGGTTGTAATTGATATAGGGGGGAGCTCTTCTAACTCCCAAAATTTCTTTAATTGTGAATTGAGGTATTCGTTTGAGATTTCCTCAACCTGAGTAGTCATGGTTGTAACTGGTTCCGGAACTAGTCCACTTAGGATCCAACCGAAAATAGTATTTTGTGCCAGAAGTGTATTTGAAATTTTCTCAATACCTTCGAGTATTATCTGTGGTATGAGATCGCTGCCTAATAGAAGGTCTATTTGAGCGGGAGTGTTGCAGTTGGGATCTGCCAGCTTTAGGTGTGAAACCTTTTGCCAATGCTTGCTATTTATGTGATAGCTTGGAAGCATATTTGTAAGTTGCGGTAAGACTATAGCTTCTGCTTGTATGTGCTTATCCGCTTGGGGGGAAATTAGGGTAATGGGGCAGATTTTATTTGAGTTTTGGACTACTCTTCCGCCCATTCCCGTGATTTCAAAATTGGCTAGTTTTGTCGGCAGTTGTAGCCTATTTTGAGCCCTAGACGCTATGAAAGATCGTTGTGATCCTTGGTCTATTAAGGCTCTAAGTTTAAACAGCTCTCCTCGGTGTTCGATGGAGACGACTGCTGTGGGTAGTAGTACTCTACTTTGAATTTCGCTGTGTAGCGTTTGGGTTTTTAATGCTTTTGAGCAGCATGGTGCTTCTTGGCAATTTTCGGGACTTCGCACTTCGGGATTTGCTGTTGCAACTAAACCCGTGGCTCTTTTCATATTTGCGCTGTTTGGGTGTGAGCTGGAAAATGTGCTGTAATGCAGCATTGAATGATGTCGTTTATGACAATAAACGCAATTAAATTTGCTTTCGCACTCTTTAAGAATATGTGCATGTGATAGGCAATTTGTACAAAGTCTTTTTGTTCTCACAAAATTGTTCCTATCGACAATATTTAATTTTTTGAATTTATCGCAAGATTTAAGTTTATGCCCTCCTGTACACAGTTCGCATGACGTTTGTTTATACTGTTCGGATGTGAACGATTGATTTTTAAAAAAACTTCTATTTAAATTGTTATGGCTACTGGTTTGGGGTCTATTAAAGCTTCTATTGAGGTCGTTTTGAACGTTTTTAGCTCTAACTAGTTTTTTGTCTACCCTTTCTGCTATTTCATATTGGGTAGTTAGAAATTCTTTCATTTGCTGCCACGTTGGGCATTTTTTCCGAGATGAGAGCGATTGCTCCCACAAAAGTAACGATTTTTCTGGTAATGCCGCGGTGCATATATTTACCAGAATAGGGTCCCAGCTGTCTGTGGGAATATTTTGTGTCGATAAAACCGACAAACAATTAGAAACAGTGGATTGTAGTCTAATAAATTCCTCACTTGTTTCTTTCTGAATTTTAGGCAAGTTCATTAGTATCGTTACTTGCTTATCGACCAATATTCTTTCATTTTCGTATCTCGCTTTTAGAGCTTCCCAAGCCAGATTGAAATTATCGTCATTTAGTGCGAACTGTTTGACTATGACGCCTGCTTGACCTTTTGTTTTGTATCGGAGGTGATACAATTTTTGTGCATTTGTTAATTTTGGGTGGTTTATGTAAACGGCTGTAAACATGTCCCGGAAGGACGGCCATTGTTCATAACCACCATGAAAGATTTCGGTATCACATGTGGGCACCTTGAGATGGATGCCTGAATTTGACTCTTGACATTGAATTTGTGGCAGCTCTACTCTCGGATGTGGAGCAGGTGCTATGGCTTTAATTAATTTTACTGGTCTAAGCAGTTTTCGTATTGCGTCATATGCAGCTTGGAGACGTGTCCAGAAATTATCAAGATTTTCCTTTTTGATTTCTAATACCGATTCCGAATTGTCCTGAATCGGCGAAGATGAAAATCGAGTGCAGTATCGTATTAGACTGTCACGCTCAGAGATAAATTTGGTGTATGAAATATCTTTCACCCGTTTTTGTTTTGTAGCACCTTGCTTTGAGCGTGTAGCTTCTGCAGGTGTACATGGACTCTTTTCTTCAGAAATCATTTTAGGTACTTTTAGCGACTGTGTTGATTTGGATTCTTTTGAATCTGAGCTCATTTAGAAAATAAAGAAATAAATTTAAAATTCCTCAGTGTCTACCGATGGAATTCAAGCTATATGCTTGTATGTAACTAAACTCTTTTAGGTAAATAGAGTTTTTTTTTTTTTGTTTTTACAAAATTAATTTTAGCTTTCGTATATGTGTATAACCGCAAACTCTTTTAGTTAATAAGAGTGTTTAATTCGAATAAAGTTTCTTAAATACGCGAATTTAGTTTTTTATAATTACTGGTCGTATTTGTTTTTATTTTATTAATTTAAAAATTGTATGAAATAAATTCAAAATTCCTCAGTGTCGACTGATGGATAATTCAGGAAATTTCTTCGTATATAGAAATGTGTGAACGAAAGCTCTTTTTAGTGAATAGAGTTTTCCACTTTGAACAAAATTAAGATTAATTTTCGTATATATGTATAACCGTAAAAATTTTTTTTGTTAATTAGCNAAAAAAGCGAATTATGTATAGTCGTAAAAGAGCGCGAGAGAGAAATTGACAATAGCAGGTAATGTCGCAATTTTCAATAAGCACTGTATGTACGTATGTAAGGTTTTTATTGTATGTATAAATGATGTATAAGATATATACATATGTATGTAAAATATGATATGTTGTATACGATATTAATGTTTAATATTTAATATTTAGAATACATATGTATGTATACGTAACTATGCACTGTATATAATTTTATATATATAATTGTTATATATATGTTAGAAGTAAATGAAGTACTCCTTTTGGTACGTATATATATATATATTTTTTTATTTATTGCGTTATAATGACGGCGGAATAACGGCAATACTTCTAGCAACAGCTCAAAAAAAGTGAAGGTAACAAATGGAGAATACGTGACATTGCGAGGTCTAATTCTGAAGAAGCAGCTCAAATACTTCATTTACCAATAAGAATAGAAGTAACTGAACTCCAAGGCTTAAAAATATTTGATAAAACAACAGAAAATGAAAAAAAAAGTAGTAAAGGCAGATTCATCAAATTAAGGGTAAAATGGAATTAATTATTTGCTTCCACAACGATATGGCAACGTTGGAACAGAGGATAATTCAGCCGATGTAGCATCCAGAGGGGTATTTGCGAACAAAATGGTAGGCCACAATCTACGGTGCGGAGGTTACAAGAAGATGAACATCAATGTCAAACACAGAGGAGTTATTATCAAAACATCACATTACTAATTAACTAAATTAATAAGATTTGTAAAAATAACAAGACAAGAATATCATCATTATTAATTTGAAATGTTTCAAGAGGAAGAGAACAAAAATATTTAGGGGCTATATAGCTGTATTTGTATTTATGGCAATAAGTGCTATTCATTTAAAGGCAGTAAGTGAATTAACAACCGAAACGTTTTAAGCTGTTTAGAAAAGATTTTTTGGAAGAAGAGGTAAAAGTCATACTCAGACAATGGAATAAATTTTGTAGGTGCTCAGAGAAAATTAGACCTAGATTTCAAAAAAGCAATCAAGAAAAATTCAACAGCAGCTGCCATATTAGAAACAGACAAAATTCAACAGACAAATTCAAACAGTTAAATATCATTTAAGAAGGGTGATAGGCGAAAGTAAATTGACATTTGAGATTTGAGAGATGATTAATTTGCTATCACAAATTAAAGCAATGCTGAATTCTCGACCTTTATGTGCCATTGGTAGTGAAAGCGATATCTATTTTAACACCTGGTCTTTTTAATACGATGTCCAATAATAGATTGTCCTGAAGCAATTGATTATTCATAAATGGGCTCCTTGGATAAGTGGAAAAATACAAAAAATGAAAAGGGACTTTTGGACACGGTGAATATGGCGAAATGCTGCAACAACGAATGAAATGGAAAACCAAATCCAATCTAGCAGAGGGTTAAATAGTAATTATTAAAGAAGAAGAGTGTGGCAATTATCTAAAATTATTTAAGCGTATCCCGGAAATAATGGAAATATTAGAGTTGTAACTCCAAAACAGCAAAATGGGACTTAAACAATTCGTTCACAAATTATGTCCACTGGAGACAACAAAACAGCAGTAAAACAGAAGAGCTAAATCAGTAACTATAACAGTTTCTCTTCATGCCCAATCGGAGATTAATAAAGAATTACTATCTCCTTCTTGGGCAAAAGACATTAAAGATATTCCAGAACTACAAATAAAGTATTTTGATTCAACATTAATAAATAACACCAAACTTCTCAAAAAATAATATATAAAAGTAAAAGGTATAAGTTGTCATCACGTAAGTGGTCACGTTTCGCTTACTTTAGTTTCATAATAGGAGTAATCATTACTTAATCATTTATTATTTATTAGATGTAATCAAAATATATAACAATAACTGTGACTGTTACATTTGAACATCCAGTCAGAAATAATTAAAAAATAATAATAAATAATTCTTAATAATAAAACATAATAGTAAATTAAAAAATAAATAGGCTAGTTTACTAAAACAACACAGCTTTGGCGCCTGGCAGAATGTTCATAAAAATATGAACATGAAAATATTATAGCTATTAGTTAAAATAATGTATAGAAAGTTATAGTTTTGAGACATGTACATTAATACACAAATATACCATACATATGTAAACAATAAATTAAATACATTCCGCTAAATGTGAAGTGCAATGATAAGCAAAAGATTTGTAATATGAGATTTTACTCATAAAAATGTGAAAATCATTGTCTATCAAAGAAAACACAAAAATAAATTTATTTATCATATCATAGATAATATGCAAGGCTTGTGTACACCAAATACTAAAGCACCTAAGAAATTGTAAAAGACGCATGCATTGGTATCTGAAGTATGCAATGACAATAGAATACATATCTACACATATATATGTACACGATATATACATATATACGTAGTTAAGAAATTATATTCAAATTGAAACTCACATTATAAAAAACTATTGAAATAAGGTTTTGTACATATGTACATATTAATTTTCTATATTTTTACACACAATTCTATATATAAATACACTATATCATTTTCCTTACACACAATATCTTTTCAATTAATTGACCGTATGGTTAATTGAACCACGTGATCGGACAAAAAAATGATAGCATAGCATGTAAATTTCCTCGGATAATTGAACCCGGTTAATTGATTTTCCTGCTTAGTTGGTTCGAAATTTTGACATTAGCGCATATACATATTTCTCAGCATTTGTGATAAACACTGGGTGGTGGTGGTTTACTAAGCAATTGAAAACATATGTTTATTGGTGAAGAAAACCTATGATAAAGCGTAACTAATTTGTTTAACAATAATTTGTTAATTTGTATTTGACAATAACTTTGGAAATTAATTTTATTTGATTGTTAATTTTTGTAGACTATGACCGCAAAACGATACGTAACTCTTACAATTAAGAATAAGCTTAAATTTTTTCTGAAGCCAAATGCAAGCCGAAGTCTGAGCTGTGCAAAAAGTATGGGTGATCTTTTACCACATTGAATAGAATTTTGCAAAATGAGCTCGACATAAACACAAACCAAATATGTTATCAGAATGAGAGGATGAGAGCGCTTTATTTTTCAAAACATTGCCTGGAAAAAGCCTGTGCAAACAGGGATATCGTAACACTGGGTTTAAGTCATCTAAGGAGCGCCTAACCTAACATTTTATATGCAAATCCACAGGTGAATACAAAAAAGTTGTTTTAATTGAAATCCATATTGCTTAAAAACATTATTCTGTTGCAAATAATGCAGCTTGTCACAAAAAAGTCCAGAATTAAAAGCATCTAAATCTTCAGTTTTTACCGGCAAATACCACAGCAATTGTCGAGTGCCTAGATTAGAGTATTATTCAAGACATCAAATAAAATGCGATAGGTATCTAGAACTGATCAATAACTACAAACACCGATTTATAATGGATGGTGGTGAGTTTAATGTGAAAAAAGGCTATTAAAAGGCTAATTAAAAGGTTATTAAAAGCTCTTCAAATGACTGGGTGCCGTATAATGTCTACTGGGATACAAACTTACTGGCCAACAAATCCACTGGGAATACCAGATCTTATTGATTTATTCATTACCAAACATATCTCTTCAAATTATACGCGCATAGAAAACGTTTGGATATGACCTTTGACCATTCACCGATATATTTAACACTACACGAAAAAGTTGTTAAGGAACCGCCTTTTACATTAACAAATAAAAACACTGACTAGGAATACTTTAAGCAAATGCTGTCTGATGATGATGACTTCAGAATAAGCTAAAAATCTTAAATTTAACAAACACAATATGTAGTCTGGAGTAGTACCCCAGTTTAAAGAAACTTACAACCAATCAAAAAAACACGTATAACAAAGAAATTAAAGAAATGGGAGCGGAAAAACGCCGATTAAGCCGAAAGTGACAACAAACAAGATCTCTATCTGACAAAAGTCTTAACAAAATATGTAGAAAATTTACCAGTAAGAAAAGGCATTTAAAAATATAATGAATTATGGGTTTATGCTCTGTATACATGAGAACATATTTTCAAGCAATTTTAAATATATACTTACACACTGAACGATATATCGCCATAAAACCTGTTAGAAAAATTGAAATAGATATATGTAGCATATAGGAGTTAAGGAAAGATTGATCCGATTTTATTTTTGCCAATACCACATACCATAAACATACGACGAACAAACAAAATGCTCCCTGGGTTTAATTAAGGCACCTCACATACCATCACCAATCTATGGGAGAAAGTCAGCCAGATGTTCGAAATTTGTGATATTATAAACATTCCACTTTCCCTATATCGTGAAGATTTCTGCTATCTTTGAATAACTAAATTAATGCACTACAACTTTTTACATTTTCACGTATATATTTTATTTTATTGCAGAATATCGTTATATACAACATTCACTGCTTCTTGTCATTAGACAATACAAACATTTTCTCTAGAGGTTACTCTTGAAAGACGACTAACAGTTGACATGTGAAAAAACAGTCAACGCAAAATCTAGCCTACAATGTTGAGGGTTTGACCCTCCATTATTAATGGTCATGCAAAAGATGTCTATACCGGAAACTTATAACGTTGAAATTGGAAGGGTAAATCCGATGGTATCTGAGGATTCCAAATCAATACATCTTTCCGGTAACACATCCTGTGATACTGTGCACTCTATTATGAAAGTTTTCAGTAATTTTACCAGCAAACGCGTGCCATTGCAAAATTTATGGATTCAGATTTCCTATAAAATAACAGGACAACCTTCTTTCAACACCATTTTGTGAGAGGGTGTCCAGACGGGGAAAAGAGTTAAAATTCTGTAGGAAAATGAACAGTTTCTTTCAAATCAAGAACAGTATCGACCGAGTAGTATAATTTCGTCGACGCATCAATCTTTGAAAGAATCAAGTTATTTACCTTATTTACTTGTTCGTTAGTTGGTTGCAGAATCGCTCTTTCTTTAAACCAAGATATTGTCGTATGACTTATGTTATCAATGTCAGGATAGACATTATTGACTAACTCTTGGATGTTGTCTATCAAAACACAAAGGTTTTGTATGTTATCCTTCCCTCACTTTGTGTAACTCGTCATTCCACCTTTGAACAGCATTCCTGGAAATAGCCTCTTCTCACGTGAAGATGACGAAACCCTCATATAAATTTTAAGCTCTAATTTATTAGCTACATGTAACCAAAAGAACAGAATTGTACATCCATCCATAGATGAATTTTTGTTGCACAAATCGCGCATTGTCCTATCCAGTGATTCCACAGACGTCTTGTTTGACAAGGTAGCTTCATCCCAGTCTTTTAATGAGCAGTCACGCATAAATTTTCCTGTATTGCTCTGTTTAGAAACACTACAAGACGCGGTTATTACATTGGTTGTGATTTTCCGCGGGAGCTTGAATGTAAGTGTACCGTTCGGCCTCCTCCAAATGCGTAGCGGCAATGGCAGACGACGCAACAGTTTCCGGATCTCACAGCAGATTGATTAAAAATGTTTTTCTTTACCTCCTGGTACATCAAACAAAGCAATTTCCCTTCATTGCATTGAATACTCTTTTTGATCGATGTTTAGTCGTGACTCATCTTGAGTTATATTTTGTAAAAGTCTCATTTTATCCTATGATGTTTCTCTTGTGCATTCGGCAGGTTAGTTAAATCTGAGTTTGAGTAATATTAGCTGACATCGGTTAGTAATCATGGCGTCCAACTGCCCACTGTCGTTGCGCTGTTCATTCGCCACACGCTCAACAACTTGCTTACTCTTAAAATAGGTCATATGAAATGCGTTAATATAACGGCGTATGTTGCGCATGAATTGTTTGGATGAATGATTGTTTGATTTTCTTTGCAAGCAACACATGCCTTTCGATTCGTCCTTGAATTTCAATGCAAAGCAATGTTCACACACTACTGACATAGTACCTATTGATACTATACGATCTTCCTTGTAAAAAACGAAGATCGTAATTCATGGCAGAATTTTTTTATTTACCCATGAGTTGGTAACTCGTGCTGATAATTCTCTAGCTCTCTGTATTCGATGTTATACCCTATCTCGGATGCTGAATCTCACGCTCTACTGAAGATTCCCTATTTCTCTCTCTTAACTCTATATCTATCCCGAAGCTGACTGAGTCGAGCCTCACGCTTTACTGACGATTCTCTGTCCTCTGAACCGTATGCCTATCTCGATCCCGGCTGTGGCGAACCTCACGCTCTACTGAAATTCTGTCTCAGCTTATATCTATCCCGAACTACTTTTCTGGCATTCACTGTACTACGACCTATGTTCGAACGACGACGCCTTCCAGACATTACTTTATAATTTTTGTACAAAAGTTACTCAGTTCTATGTGTATGATTACCTATGCACAAATTGACATATTATTAGTATGTGCCGCAGTAAAAAATATGTAAATACTTACCATTTAGAAAAAGAGATAAGTTTTTTTTTTTAACCGAAATAGCAAGTCAAGTTAAACTACGATTTTAATTTAATTAAAAATTCTTAAAAAATAGTTTCCTATTCGTACGACTAAAACAAAAAATAATCAACAACAGAAAAAGATATAAGTTTTTTTTTTTAACCGAAATAGCAAGTCAACTTAAACTACGATTTTAATTTAATTAAAAATTTTTAAAAAATAGTTTCCTATTCGTACGACTAAAAACAAAAGATAATCA